GGGGGGGGGGGGTTGAAGTATTGGAGAGCTTGACGAACAAAGGACTATTCAATGCGATCGAAAGCTTTTTCTAGATCTAGCTTAAGAAGCAGAAGACTGGTTTCACCCGATTTTTTCTTGAAGTGGTATACAATTTCTTGTACAATTATAGCATTATCAGCCGCTCTTCGATGTTGTTGAAAACTAGACTGGGTAGGGCTGATAAATATTGGCATAAAAAATTTGTAATGATTTTATATATGGTGAAACACAATCCAATAGGGCGATATTGAGTAATCATGGAGATGTGTCGTACTTTGGGAATGAGGCAGACGTAAGTTTGATTAATGGATTCAGGAATTTGAAAGGTTGAAAATATCTGGTGACAGAAGTCGATAACCTTTGGTCCCACGTCCGGCCAGTAATGCTGGTAAAAAAAAAGGGTGTAGCCCATCGGGTCCTGGTGCTTTGAAGGGTTTAAGTGAGTTTACAGCTGAAAAGATTTCGCTGTTGGATAATGGGCGTAGTAGAGCTTCGCTCGCAGCTGGAGTGAGGGGGGAGGAGCATTGGGAGTGGGTTGTAGGAGAGAATGTGTGGAGTCAGTGGTGTAGAGTGTGTTGAAGTAATTGAGGATAGTGTCATGAATTTGAAGGTCATCATAGCACCAGTTACCCGCATGGTCCTTTAAGTGTGAATACGATTCCTGCAACGCTGGTGTAGGGTAGAGAGGCAAAAAATTTAGTATTAGCATCACCGTCTTGTAACCATTGAACACGAGATTTTAGTTTCCAAAATTCTTCTTCCAAAAGAAGAACATCATTATATTCTTGTAATAAAGTACTTTCCAGTTGTTGTAAGAATGAGCTAGTGGAAAAATTTGGGGAGGATTGTATACCTCCTAATCTGGCAAGTAAGTGACGTTTTCGATGAAATATGTTACCAAAAGAGTCTATACTCCAGCTATTAATATTATACTAGTATTAGTACCTGCGCGGATGCGCGGACACTAATCATGTCAAATATTTAAGTTATTTGGATTGTAAGTAAATAATCTTAAAATTTACACTTTCTCAGTAAATATAGATAATCATTGGATATTAACTACATGAAAATAATTAACCATTTCTTCTATTTTTTTTTTTTTTTGATACCATTCTTGCTGCTGTCATTGGAATAGTCAGGAAGCAAAATAATAACTCATATTTATGGCAAAACAATCAAATATTAAGACAATGAATGACTCTTTGGATAAGACTTAACTCTTTTACTACTACTTGAACTCTTATTTGGTGTGTTGATATCTCTTAAAAAATATTTCTTTCTTAAAAGTTTCTAAAACATTATTTTTCAATAATAATTATTTTTATAATAATGTAATTGAAAATATTATTCTTAATTCAAAACTCATTTTAGTTGGCTATCTAAAAATATAAAAAATTCTTTAGCTAGTGAATTTTTTTTACTCCATTTTGATATTTGACATTAACCATGTTAAATATCTGAGTTATTTGAATTATATGTAAATAACCTTAACATTTAAACCTTCTAAATAATTATAGATAATCGTCAGATATTAATTAAGAAATACTAGATGAAAAAAGACTAACATTTTCTCAATTCTCGTAGTGATAATTTTATTTTTGCACTATTCTCATAGGTTCACTGGAACATAAAAATAGCCACAAAGTGAAATAGTAACTCATATTTATGGCAAAGCACAAAGGTTGACACGATATAAACGATTCTTTGATTACGATGTGACTTGTGACGACTCAACCTGTCGTCACGTGAGTTACCGTTCCGTTTGCCCCATTTTCTATTTCTTTATGCTTCATTATCAGTGTTGGGTGTGAACGAGTTGATTTGGATTGGTTCTAGAAGGAAATGAGACACTTAGTCTCTTTAAGGAAGGTTTGTTTTGGAAAAGTCAACCGGGCATTGACTTCTGTGTTAGAGGGCTCGGATATGAATTCCGATGATTCAGTTAGCTTCGGGGATGATTTGTGACCTAGGAGTGTGATCGGAAGTGATTTTGGAGGTTCGGTGTAGAATTTGGCTTGAATTGGCGAAGTTAGTATTTTGGCGAATTCCGGTTGATAGGTGAGATTTTGATACGAGAGTCGGAATGGAATTCCGAGAGTTGTTGTAGCTTCGTTAGGTGATTTGGGATGTGTGTGCAAAATTTCAGGTTATTCGGAGGTGATTTGGTTGGGTTTTTGATCAAATGCGTGTTTCGGAAGTTTTAGAAGAACTTAGGCTTGAATCCGATGT